TTTTTTCTTCTAACTTAACTACCCCCTGAATTTCGCCCATTTGTGCACTTTCTCCAGTTTGTTTCTCACCCTTTAAATATATTAATGATTCCTTATATTCAGTAATTTTTTGATTTTGGATTTATCTACCGATTTTTTATCTTTTCCTGTATCTTTTTCTTGTTCATGTTCTGAAATTTCCTTCAAACTGTATACCCAATTTGGCAAGCCTTCTGGTGGAGTCACATCATAGTAATAAGAATTATCATGATATCATAATTATGATTAATATTGTAATTATTTGGTATAAAATATTTTGTCGAAAAATATCTCTTCAGAACATCAACTGTAATTATATACATTTATTCTTCTTTTAGTAAGATTTCCCAGATCAGTATCACTTTCTTAAGGTAAATGCACCTTTGTTTCTTTAATTACATCAGTTAATTCATCCCAATATTTAGTAACTTTCTTTAATCTTCATTCAACAAGTGATTGTGTGCTTTTAATTCTTTGTGCACTTTTCTTAATTATTTATTAAAATTAATACTTAAAGATAGTATAAATATAAAATATTATTAATCTTACTTTATTTAACCAGCTATTTGTATGTAAATGACAATTGTCTGCTTCCAGTTTTCCAGTTTCTACCTTCCAATATCTTTCTCTCTGATAGTGATGTAAAGTATCTAACCATTCATTTATTTGCTTTTGTGAGTGATTAAAATGTAGGACCATGGATTTTATTAATTCGGGTATCAACTTTTGTAATATTTTTTTATTCACATCACTTGAAAAAACTTCGTCTACCCTCAGTTTATATTCGTTAGAAATGGTTTTCATTAAACCTTCATCTCTGCCCTCGCTTCTTCTAGTTTCAGCTCATCTTTGGTAACCAGTTTCATCAGTTTTGCCTCTTTACTACTCCTTCTAGGTTGAATTCTTTGGTACTTTATTAAACTTGGCAAACTTTCAGATTTTGATATATTAACTGCTCTAGATTCTACAACAACTATAGGATCAAGTTCAGGTTTTACAGATTTGAGCTGATCAATTTCCTTTTTTAAATCTTCTATTTTATTTTTTTGCTATTTTGATTCTTCGGAAAATTTGTTGTTAATATATTTCATTAGATCTAATTGTTTTACAAATTCAACATTTTCTCTTTTTAGTATTTTGACCTGCACATGTAATTCTTTATTTTCTAAATAAATCAGTTGGTTAGTAAAGATAAATTTTAATAATTCAGCAATAATTTAATTCTAACCTTTTTCAATATCCTCCCTGATTTGAGTTTTGGGTGGCAACTCAACTTTCGGTGTTAATATTTGTGCAACTTCAGATGCAAATATTTCAGGCAATACAATAGATGGCCTTCTTCTAAGCAATTCAGTAGCCATAGTAAGGATTGAAGATTCGATACCAGGTGTTACTAAACTAACTGTTGTCACTTCTGATGCAGTTGATGTGAAGGAAGTTTGTGATGGCAGGGAAAGTTGTGAAGATTGCAAAGATGATGGTAGCTATTCTCTGTAAAAAGCATGTCCAGTTGGTTTTTTTTGTTCAGATATTTTAGGTATTGGAAAAAAATATTAAATTAAAGGGATATTTAAATAAAATTATTTGTATTGTTTTAATACAATTTGGGGCTGCATATATATTATACTATTATTAGTTATATTATATTATAATTTGAAGTCACATATTATATTATACTATATATTATTCGTTATATTATGCTTATATTATATTACAATTTGAAACTATTTAATATATTAATCACAAATTTGCCATTTGATATTACTATTTGCCAATTTCAAAATGTTAAGAAAGTATTCAATTTCAGCTTTACTTAATGAAAGTTTAAAAAAAAATTCAAAAAAGCAAAAATTACTTGCAACTGTAGTAAATATAATAAATTACTTGTTGACTTACGAACAGAATTTTTGCATAGATATTGAAAAACAAAAGATGAACATTTGATAAGTGAAGAATTCACATTTCGGCATAGAATAAGAAATATTTCATCAAGTCAAATTATGTCATTAAGCAACAATCAACAAAATCCAAAATTGAATGATGCAAGTTCTGAAAATGATGAATTTGAAGTTAATAATGATAATGAAATAGATGATATATTCGAAGATTATTTGATATCAAAATATTAATTTTTACTGAATTCTAGCAAATTTTCAGATAGTTATTTTATGTGAATTTTGTTATGGATTATGAACTATAGAATTCAATTTAATTTATCGAATAGTGCAATAGATGTATTGCTAAAATTTATAAAATTGGTGGCAAAGAATTTGAGCTCTTTTGTGAATCTTTGTATATTATCAACAATAAACTTGAATTATTAGATCAGTTCGTTAATTTTGTGGCATGTCAAAGATGTCACAAATTGTACAGACAGGATGATGTTCTTGATTTTCAAAAAAACAATTGGCTATCAGTCATGAAATGTGTTTATATTGAATTTCTCAATTTGGCAATAAATTGAAGAAAAACTTGCAATTCCCCACTATCTACACAATCAGAATTATTAAACAGAAATGTAATTAATCAGCCCAATTTAGTTTTTTTATATTCTACTATTTGATATCAATTGTCACAAATATATCAAAATCTGAATTTTAAATCTAATCTTCAGCATTGAATAGATTGATCAAGTGTTGATAAACTTCTATGTAATTTCCATAATGGTGATATTTGAAAAACTTTTAAAGATGAAAACTTAAAATTATTTTTTAGTAAAGAGATGACTGATTCATATTTGGAATTGGTGCCAAATATCAACTGATTTCAACTATTTGATAATAAAGTGTATAGTACTGGAGTTATATATACGACTATCGCAAATTTGCTACACAAAATATGATTTAAACATGAAAATATATTGATACTTGATTATTACCAGGTTCTAATGAATCAGGTTTACATCAAATAAACCATTACCTTTCTTCAATTGTCAATGAATTGATGCAACTATGGCAAGAAGTAAAGCTCGATTCAATTGCTGAAAATAAAGAGGAAAAAATAATTCGGATGGCCTTAATTTTAATTTCCTATGATATTCCTGCTGCATGAAAAGTGTGTAAACACATTTTGCACTAGTGTCATGTCATTGTTGCAAGAAGAATGTCAATTATAAAAATAATCATTATAATTTTGGTGACATGAAGGATATAACCGAATGGTTTATATCGAGAGATTTGATAACACATAAACGAGATTCTATCAAAATAGAGGTGCTATAGCTCAAATGCAGCACAAAAACATTTTGTTAGTGTGAATTATGTCAGATAGTCCAAATTTCTTTACCTATCTTATTTTGATCTAATTCAACATTTAGTTATCAATTCTATACACTATCTTTTATTAGATATTGGTAAATGACTCATTAAATGAATATAGATTGAAGAAGAGATGCTAATGAATAATATATTGAATGAAATATAATCAATTATAAAAATTTTTCAAGTACCATTAGATATTGATCAAAATCTGAGAAAAGTAAATAGTGACGAAGGATTTTTAAACTTTACTACCAATTAGTAGATAAATTTTTTCACAATATATGCAACTATCATTCTATGAAAGCATCTTCCAGATGTGGATTGCCAAATTCTAATAAATTTTATCAAGATTTGTCAAATTTTAGTATATCAAATTTTAAGACAAAATTTGTTAAATGAGGCTCACAAAAAATTAGTTGCAATTATTAAACTAATAGAACAAAAATATGAAGAAGAAAAAATTACTTTAAATCTTTATCTTTCATTATATTTATATAAATGTGCATGTGATTATGGGCCATTGTATACATTTTAGTACTTTTTATTTGAGAGAATGAATGATATATTAGGTAGGTTTTTTAAACAAATTTAATATTTGGAAGTAAAATTCTAATGAATTTTTAATCTAGATTCATTACCTAATAGTTATCAAAATATTGAACCCAAATTAATACGAAGATTAATAAATGATTATTGAATTATTAATCTAACTATGTCCTATCTGAATAATCCGGGACTTGAAATTTTAAATAATCAACTAAATATATGCTCAATTTTTGAACTTGGCTGACAAGTTATATTGATTTTTAAACAATACATATAATATTCATGAAACAATAATCAATGGATTCAAACATTTTTCAGGTAAACTCTTTCATTCGAAAAAAATCAAATTTAAAGGTATCAGCTGAATTATTAGATCTATTAGTCAAATATTATAAGGCATCTTATAAAACTATGGACTTTTGGAAGTCATTTACGAAAGATAATAAAAATTTAAAATTATTCAGAATAGAATAGATTAATATAGTAGATACTGAATTGGAAGTTAAATATTTGCTTCTGTTATATTCTCATGAAATATTAAGAGCTTATTTATATTAGTTAAATTTGTGAATTATAATCGAAGTGTCGATTTATATCTGGGACAAGTTCAATTCTTTTTTACACATTCAGTAACCTTTCTGAATAATATTATTGAACATTGATTGGCCTTTATTCAGTGATACAAACCAGTTAATTCAGTAAAATATAGATTTTATTTCAGATCTGAAAATGATATGAATATTGAATTGTGAAATACTGAATTTTACCCAGTTAAATGTGAATGCATGATTTCTATTTATAATATTTTTGATCAATTTATTTCATTTATATATAAAATCTCAAATTGGTAAAACTCTCATGAATATTTAACTGTAATTCTTTTAAATCGTAAATATAATATATAATTAAAATTCGACAAATATATAAATTTTGACAAATGTCTAATGATTTTTTAAGAAAAATTTTAATGAAATATATAGTAAAAATGATACAAATATGGCAAATAATATTAAATCATATAGTAAAAATTGATTGCCGATTTATTTATTCCAAATTATATAGTAAAAATTGATTGATAATTTATTTATGCCAAATTATATATCGAATTATATGATAAAAATTAATTTATACTGAATTATTTATTTTTTTGATGAATATTATATACAGTAAGTAGTATTATACTGAATAAATGTTTTTTGACTAGTATAAAGAGGGAGGCAAAGACAAAAGTTAAATATTTCTTACTAGAAAATATTAAAATTTTTAAATTAATGATTATAAAAAAATTACTTATAATTGTTCTTTATTATTCAAATAATTGATTTGTAACATTTTTTGATTTTTGTTTCTATTAAGTAAAGAGTTATGAATTTTATCATCTCTTTGAAGAACATAAGTAATCATCAAAATTTTATATGCTAAATATTTTAGGAACCTATTATTAGTTATATAAGAATAGGACTTTTGATTTTCCTGTTAATTACCAAATTGAAAATAATCTATTATAAGGATTGTATAAAGAAAGATATCTGATTTGATTATACAATAAATATCTGACTTTCTTAAATTGGATAGAAACAAAATCCTAGAATCTTGCTTTTAAAATTGCAATAATTGATTAAATACAATCTAATTTTAAACTTTATCAGTAGATTCTAAAACCTCACTTTTAAAACTATGATAATTATTCAAATATTCTCTTCCTAAACTATATTAATAGACTTTAGAATCTGAATCTCTTAACTTAGATATTTTAATTTAATGTTATACTTAATTGACAATCAGTTAATAAGGATTAATCTGATACCATAGGTGTTGATAAAGAAAGTAATGTGCACTCTTTCAAGATCTAAGCAAATAATATCTGAATGTATTGAAGGAATTATTAAAGCCCATTAAATATATATACTGTATATAGTAGCTAGATTAGTCTAGTGAATTTAAAAAAAAGTTAATTTGAAACTCAATACTAGTTAATTGAAATTTGCTATTTATGACCTGTGTTTATCATTCAATCCCTATCTGAGTTTGTCCACTTTCTAAATACTGTATAAGCTGGTTTAACTAGGTAAGTCACAATAGATCTGCATATGGGGATTTTTCGGATCATATAATTGTGATCCTAAAATTTGCATTATATACGTATTTAGTATTTTGATCGCCTTCAAGAATATTTGCCCATATATAACTATATATTAATAAAGGTCCCGCATCTAATACCAGTCGCGGTTTAAAAAAATATACTGTATATATTCATATATTTTAAAATAATTTTGTAAAATTAATTATTTAATAAAATAATTCTTATTGAAACCTATTTATAATTTATTAAAAAATAAGGTTCCGAATTTTTATAAAATTTAAATAATTTATAAGTGAATTATAAATAAAAAAAATTGTTCAATTATTTTGACCTAAAGATTGAATGAGGCCATATATCCTGGAGAACTATCGCTTGTGGTATAGAACCATGAATTAATTTATTTTATATTTGCTATTTTAAATTTCAAATAGAAAAAAATATAATTTTAGAAAAAGATCTTAAAAAAAAAAACCCCCCCATTTTAAAATTTTATTTTTAGATAAGTGATTGTTTCTAAGAAATAAAATTATTTTTGCTTTCGTTGATGGAAAAATTTCTAAATTGCAATATAACAATCCTTCAGATTTTCCGCATATAAATTCATTATATTCTCTTTATCTCTAAACGTTAGAACCAAAACTATATACTGTATATGGTATATACATATATACATTTTTTTTTTAAAAAAATATTAACTGTCATTATTAATTTTCTTATTTTTAAATATCGAAAATTAATATCTAAAATAGTTTTTTTCCTTATCGCTAAACATTAAAATTTAGAGATTGAATTTTTAAAAGAGGCGTATTTTATGATTCAAGTTTAAGAGGCTGAATATATTTTTGGAGATGGTATGTAGCAATGTTTCTGCACACGGGAAGTGTTTGATTGCGCGAAGTTCGGGCGCTGTACGTAGGTACAGCATAAAGAAGTTCAGAATTAAGATGATTTTATTTTTAGCGAAAAACGGTTCAACCTCCTCGTAGTAAATTTTTAAAATAAAGTTTCTGATTAGGAATGTAACTTCGAACAACCGCTGATTGTAAAAGTTTATTACAAATTTATTCCAAAACCGTAAAAATGGTGCGACCTTCGATTGGTCGTTTATTATTCTTTCCAAAAAAAGATGACACAAATATTTGTCTAATAAATCCGTGTCACCCTATCAGGACAGAAATGCTATTTTCAAGCAAAACGGTTATTAGTTTGGTTCCGCAAGATAATCGTTCATTGGAGAGCTACTCGGCGCACATTGTATGACAAAAGAATCATTTTTTTTATTTTTACACAAACAGACATTTGATTAGGTTACGTATATACGTATTTTAAATATTAGGGATTAAAAAATCGAATGAATACACGAAAGGATGGGAGTCTCAAATTCCCAATTAAGGCGAAAACCGAATTACATCGCAATAACGCAATGGTTAATAATAATAATAATTTTTTTTTTCCTTCTCTATCTTTTTTTTTTTTAGTTCTTTTTTTTTTTACATTATAATCCTAGGTTCTGTGACATTATTAGAAATACATTTGTGAGGTAAAATGCTACCTCCGTTCACGTACACTTCGTCGTTGATGGACACGTCATCGCCGAGCACCGAGACACCTTCAAGACGAGTCTGAATGAGGGAGTAGTAGTATGGTGACAGACGTCATGAGTTGAGATGGAAAGCGCCAAACGTATCAATAAATAAATAAAATAGAGCTTACCCATCGACCGAGCGTAGAATGCCAACCAATAATGCTATTCTTGACCCATGCAAAGTCCTTGATCCTAGCGCCCTCCAAAATGACACATCGTTGTAATCTGACACCATCTCCGATGACAACATTCGGTCCAATCGTAACGTTGGGACCAATCCTACAATCCTTACCAATCTTTGCAGTAGGGTCGACGAGAACGTTGCCCAAGACGTAAGGATAGACGGCGGAATTGGACAGAAGTTGAGGTTGCTTCTTGGACAGATTTGCGAGGTACAAGACGGTGCCCGTTAGAAAATCCTTGGGCTGACCAACATCCATCCAAAAACCTTCCAGATCGAACAAATGTAACTGAGATTCAGTGGCCATTCGTGGGAAAACTTGCGTCTCTATGGAGGTTGGCTTAAGCTGGGAAAATAATGTTTGCGGGCGTTGGAATTAAAAAATTCCTAAGCAAGAAAAGTGAGAAAAAAAATATATTTCATAGCATACCTCAATACGATTCAGCACTTCAGGATTGAAGATGTAAATGCCGGCGTTGATCTTGTTACTAACGAATTCCACGGGCTTTTCCACGAAGCGTTCGATTAAGGTTGAACCTGTCTGATTAACAATCACACCATACTTTGAGGGCTCTTCGACTTTGGTAACCTTAGATTCACGATTTCCGATGGTGAGATTTAATTAGACGCGATTTTGTTTTCTTAGACCGTGAAAAAATGTGATGATATTTCTATCATTTTCATCATACGTACAACAATGGTACCCTCGTTGCCATGAGCCTTGTGAAAATCTCTTAATTGCTCGAATGGGAATTCGCAGATAATATCGCTGTTCAACACAAAGAACGGAGTTTTATCCTTGTCAAGGATATCCCTGGCCAGTGCGAGTGGGCCGGCTAAAAATTTAGAGAACGAAGAATTAAGGATGTCAATTGAATTTATAATCGACTGACCTTTCGACGGAGATACAAACCGGTGCCCAAGGGTTCGGTTTCCACGCTGAACGTGATTTTAACATTATATTTTTCTTCGTAGTTTTTAAGAAGTTCCACCATTATCTCGGGACGATAATTTACAGCCAACACAATATCCTTTACCCCAGCCTTTTGTACAGTGATAAATTGGTTATTATTATGGTGTTCGATGGCGAATATCAGAATTTCAAACCAACAGACCGACCTTAACGAGACCCTCTATTTGGTGTAATATCATAGGCTTGTTACAAAATTCTACCAGGGGCTTAGGAAGCGTGAGCGTGAGAGGTCGAAGTCGAGTGCCGAAACCTGGAAGAGGTCACGGAATGTCAGATGTTTTTTTTTTTTTTTTTTTTGGACCCGAGGAAGCGTTAAAATAAATTCCAAATACCGCCAACGAGTATGAGGGCCTTCATTTTTGTATATTTCCTTTTTTTATAAAAAAAAAAAGAATAAAAGAAAAGGTGGAATAATCTCGTTTCAATAATCAAAAACTGATGAGAAGGCAGTCGGATGTTATATGCACACCATATTTGTACTAGTGCCGAAAATAGTACCTTCTTCTCAAAAATGTTAGTGTCACCATAGCTTTTATGTAGCCTGGTTCGAATCTCGATATTAACCAATCAATGGATACCACATTGAACAGCGAACTCATGTGCATATATTGTATACTTTTTTAGAAAATCATGATTTACCAAGAATCTACAGGGCACACAAAATTATGGAACATTCCTTAATTTAATCATTAAAAATCGTCTCCGATTAGATATTTACGTAAGAATGAAAACATCAAATAATTGTTGTTCAACGTCTAGTAGGAGAAGAATCCTTTTCCGGTTTTGCGTCCAAGATTTCCCGCGCGAACAAGATCATCCAGCGTCTTGATCTTTACGACAAGGTTGGAATCAACCTGCCCACCTTCGCGCCAGCCATCCGCGATAGATTTCAATGTGTCCAACCCAACAAACTACAATGACATAACTCATTAAATATCGTCTATGCTTGACGAAAATAAACAGAATGATAGTAAAAAGTGAGTTATGTACGCACGTCGGAAAGTTCGAATGGACCCATGGGCATGCCGGCACCTAATTTCATGGCCGTGTCCACGTCACCTGGTGTAGCCACGCCTCGTTCGACGAGACGAATCGCCTCCAACAGGTAAGGCACCAGGAGGCGGTTGACGATGAACCTATGTTAAGATGATGCGCAGATTCAATGGTCAGTTTGACAATGCGTACATTACACTCCGCAATCAAAATACTTGGTCACCCAAGTCATCAATTACCCAGGAGTGTCCTTGCACGTCACCGGCGTCTTATCTAACTTCTTTGAGAACTCCATCAAAGCGTGATGGGTCTCATCACTGGTGCTTTCGGTTTTCACGACCTCCACCAGTTTCATTTGTGGAACCGGATTGAAAAAGTGTAACCCTGCGAATTTATCTGTTCGATCGGTCGCTTTCGCGATCTCTATTATTGGCAAACTTGAAGTGTTAGAGGCAAAGATCGAATCCTTCGGTGCGATTTTATCCAAGGAGCTAAATAACTTTTGTTTCTTTTGAAGGTTTTCGACGATGGCCTCAACGATTAAATCTGCACTTTCCGCACTCTTCGACAAGTCGGTGCTGGTCTTTATGCTTGACAATGTAGATTTAATAAATTCACTTTGTTTCTGCTCGTCATCCTTGAATTGCTTCTTTGCCACTCGTTTTAGGGACGAATTGATGATGCCCTTTCCTCGTTCCAAGCTACTCTCGTCGAGGTCCACCATGGTCACAGCGTAGCCTTTTTGCGCGGCTACCTGAACGATACCGGCTCCCATAAGGCCGGAACCATAGACGGTGATGTTTCGAAAGTCTCGCGCAAGCGAGGAAGTAGAAAAGGAATGAGAGCTAACCAAATGGTTTTTGATGGTTTTAGGAAGAATTCGCGGTGAGATACGAAAAACCGAGCAGATAGATTGAAACATGTTAGATCGAGAAGTGATGAACAGATGGATAAGAGTTTATGTATGCTGAATTGCAGGGGATGATGTAATCTATAACCCTGCTTCAATGAGAATTATATCACGTGATAATTCTAATGGTCAAGGAAGTACTGCGTAACATGATTTATTTGACCTCTTCTATCGCAAATGGGATGGGACATCGCGCCTTAAACATTCTTTTGTAATTATGATCTTTGTTTTTTTTTTTTTTTTTTTTATGAATAATACAAAAAACAAGTTATATAAATAGAAAAAATAGATGAGTTCTTTTTGTTTAAGGAAAAGAAAAAAAAAAAAAAAAAAAAGGAAAGAAAAAAAATCTTATGAATCTTGTGGTCAAGAAAAAACAAATAAAAAAGGATTGAAAAAATGATATGTGATGAAAGGTTGATGATATGTATATATATCGAAGAACGAGGACATTTGATCGGGAAAAGGGATCATGCGATTTCAGATATTCCCATATGACGAAAAGAAGGGTCGGCATGTTTGATCGCATGCGCAATTCTAGAAATAGACCAAAAAAATAAGAAAATAAAAAAAGTATCCATATAACGCTTAAAAATCGTCATCGACAATGAGAAAAGAAATATATATATATATATATATATATATATATATGTATAAACATGGATTGTAAGTTGAACTAAATATAAACAAGAAATAAAGCGAAAAAAAGAGACGTTCCTCACTCGATCTGGAACATAAGACGATTTTTCTTGGTTAATGTATGTTCGCTTGTCCCGTTGTTCCGGATATGAGACAACATATGTCTTCTCCGTAGTGACGATTTTCAAAGGTCGCCTACTGAGTTTGCCATACTCTCGCTCATTATCCCTTCAGCTTGATTGAAAGTGAATCCCCAAAATTGTTGTTGTATGGTATCAGAGAGTTGTGAATCATTGACCAATGAATCCTGTGGAGTTTCCGAGGTGAATTCGGGATCGAAATTTGAGGTGTCGATGGCGGATTTCTATGACAAAAGAAATGAACATTAAATGGATCATCCATTAATTAGTAAAATGACAGGGCAGAGGCGAAAGGTAATGGAATGCACCGCATACCACACTGGGCTTGAAGGGTGGTTGAACCTTCTTTTGAATTAGCTTCTTCCAGTCAATAGAAGCGAAGAAAGGATGATCCTTGATTTCTTGTGCTCCATTGTTGCCAAGGCGTTGGTTAGGATCTCTGGTCAACAGCTGCATAAACGAATATTTCAGAATCAGGAAATAATGATGGAATCATGAAAAGATGAGATGAACCATATTTGAATACTCACCCCTGTTAACAAAAGCCTGGCTTCATTCCCAACCTCCTCGGGAAATCTTAGTTCATCTTGTAAAATTTTCCTGTACATTTCGTTTGTATTGTCGTCATAAAAAGGCGGTAAACCAGTCAACATTTCATATAACAAGACACCCAGAGTCCACCAATCCACCGTCTTAGTATACCCCTGACCCAACAATAGTTCCGGGGCGAGATACTCTGGTGTCCCGCAGAAGGTGTTGGTGGTCTCCGATTCAGTCATGTTCAGCTTACAAAGACCAAAGTCACATAAAGCGATATGGCCAGAATAGTCTAAAAGAATGTTCTCTGGCTTTAGATCCCTTTTGGTGGTTTGATTAAATTATTTTATGAAAATTTAATATACGTGTACAGAAAAAACCACTTTTTGGAGTCTCAAATAAGTAATATTTGTTTGTTTCACTTTCAACAACACCCCAGTCGAGTACTAACCGATAAACAACGTTGAAATCATGTAGGCATTCTAATGCACAAAGCAATTCTGCCGCATAAAATCTTGACCTCTCCTCATCAAATCTTCCTTCTCGTTGAAGATGGTAGAACAACTCGCCACCATTGACAAAGGCCAGAACCAAATATAATTTCTCCGGACTTTGGAAGGAAAACTTTAGTGGTACGATGAAGGGGTTGTTGATTTTTGCCAGAACCGTACGTTCCGCGAGGGTGTGACTCACCTCCGACCGAGATACGATGTGAGCTTTGCGTATGGTTTTCAGTGCATAGATACGGGACGTATCCCGCTTACGTACTTGCATGACCTAATGGTTAACGTGCATTGGGCTTTTAATTAGTACTATGTGAAAAGTTCACATATCCATCCTCCAAGCAGACACAGAAACCATGTTAGAAATGAGAAAAAATTAAATAACCAAGTACCTTTCCAAAACTACCCTTGCCGATGACTTTTAACAAATCAAATGCATCGATTGCCAAAGGTACATTTGCCTAAAAATGGGTGAAAAAAAAAATCGGATTTAATATTAACGGATAAGCCACACAGAAATATTTACAGATTTTCATCAGCATCTCACATACATGATCCTTCTTATAACAAAGGTGAACATGCACACTACCCGAACCACCTGATAATGGATACCATTCTTCGTGCAATTTCTGCAAAATTTAAATTCGATCATTAGAACATTCGGGCAAGCGATCTCTGAAAATTATACATGCAATTCCTCTTACATTTGGCTCGTTAAATTTGGGTGTAATTTTCACATCACCCAAAAATACATCATTGCCCATGTCATTAGTATGCTGACCCGTTTGTGTCGCTCTACGAAGGTAGATCTGTATGGACACATCTGACTCACGTGAGACATCACTGGAAAAAAAAAAAAAAAAACAAGTATTCATTAAAATCCCTCACAATCATAAATACTTCCGGAAATGCAAGCAATCTATACTTACAAAGCCGCCTTATATTGCCAAGTCGGGTTCTGTACGTTGCCACCTAGGGAGTCGATCAAAACTTCATTCTTGTCAAATTCCAGCACTACATAAGGTAACCACCAACACTGTTTCCTTTGCATACTATCCCTATTACCCCGCGTGTTGGTTGGAGTCGGAGACGCAAAGTGTGGAGGCATTTGAGGTGGTCTTATACCGGGTGGCAAACTGATCCCGCGTGCCTCAACAACACGGATGATAATGAGACCGGAGGCCGGCACTGGTGTAGGACTTGTAGGTGTCGAGGGGGTATAATTTCCATCGCTGCCCGCTGATGGACTTTCCCTGCCATACTGTGATTTGTGTGATTGCTGCCAAAGGCGCATTGTTTGTAAGATGCTCTGGGTAAAAGTTGTTTGCTAAAGTGTGAGGAATCCTTTGAAAAAAGAGAATATGTGAAACTAGGAAGTTTGATGGTAAGATAGCCAAAAAGATATTGGTTTAATATCCACCACTCTATAAACAAAAAGTTCAAACCTGTTTATGGTTGCTATGAATACTAATAATATTAATGATAGTTCACTAAAATAATCCTTACGTAGGAAATTTAATACATACGTATTACGTATGCGTCAGGTTAGTTCAATTAATACAGAATGGCATGAATTAAGAAATTCTATTTATATTACCTTTGTTATAGTATGTCGGAGAAATCTGATTCTATCTTTATCGTGCGTGTAAAAGGTAATGCCGATCTTGTATTAAAAAAAACCATTGCAAATTACTTATCATCGTTATAGTTACTGCGTTCGAACGTCTTATTGGATGCAAATTGTGATAAAACACGTTCCATTTCGGTTTAAATATTCGCACATAAAATCCACTGCTTCTAAGACCAATTAAGAATAAACCGTATTTTTTGTTATTAATTTCTTAAACCTTTGTTAAATTTATATAGAAATATTAGAATAACTGGCCTTGAACCAATTGGAATTTTTTTTTTAAATGATCATTAATGCACATTTATTTGTATCCATTTAAATAAGAGCTAGGCTCTTTATTAAAAAATAATATTTACAGTAAGATCAAATTATTATTCCTATGATATGCAAAATTGAATTTTTTAAAAAAAAAATGTTACAAAAAAAATATTAAATCTATTATTATATATTTATTTGTTTATTTGTTTTTATAATAATCAAATTAAATATTGGTAATTTATTTAAATTGAATAAATTAATAAGCAATTAATAATAAAGATATTCTTTTTTTTTTATTTTATTGCAAATGAATATTAAATATGAATCTTTATTTGAAAATTAATTAATATATATAATATTAATAGTCTTTATATTGTAAATTAACTATAGACTATTGTAATAATCTTGTTTTGACAACTTGCTAATTCTTAATTAGGGCATGAAACAAGATTAAATGGTTAATGCCCACTCAAAAATGATAATAAAAATATTGAAGAAAATAGTTTTTTATTAATTAAGTTATAATTTATTTTAAAAATATTTGATATTATATTGAATATATTATTAATGTTTTTATTTAAATTATTATTAATATTACTTATAAACATCTTAATTTTTTTTTACTTGATATCTGTAAAAAGTACTATATTAATAGTGACTAATCTTTATTTTTATATTTTATAGAGAATCTTTAAGAATTTGTTGATTAATAAAATTTTTGATTTTATATTAAATAATTTATTAAGATATGAATTAGAGATTTCTATAACTAGTTCTAAAAAGAATTATCTATTATATATATTGGATATTAATAATATATTGTTAAATATATAGTTATACTTTTGCTTATTGAGTATTTCAATGAATAAATTTTTCAGTTTATAAAATTTTTCTTTCTAAGTTTTTTATTTTTTAATACAATTAAATATATAACTTTGATTTTTATTATTATGGTCATATTATAATATTTTGAATTGAAATATAGTTATAAATAATATTTGTTTAGTTTTATTTTTATGAAAAGAAGGTTAAAAAACTTTGTTTTAAAAACTATATGAATTTTAAATTTAAATTTATTATTATTTTAGTAAAAATTGTTAATTATTTTTTTTAAAAAAAAGTCTTATGGTAATAGAGTCTTTAAAATTAAATTTTAATTAAGAATTATAAAAAATAAGTTAGAGTTTAAGTTTATAAACTTGATCTATTATATGATATCAATACCTAAAAATGCATAAATTAAAGATAATATTATATATTTATAAATAATGATATCATCTTATTCTTTTCATTAATTCTTTGATCACATACAAAAAAGATGTTCACAAGAAGTTTTAATATTTCTTTGCTAAAAAAATCTTATTACTTTCCTTAAATCAACTTAAAAGGTTTCTTTTAAAACTCCTTTATCTTTTCTATTTCTTATTTACAATCTCCTTTGGATAAACTGGACTCTTATGACCTACAAAGTTTAGCTCTTATCTTTACTACCAATGGTAAGAAAGTTCTTAATAGGAAAAAAATTAACAATGAAGTACCTATTATCTCTCAGTTATAATAAAGAAATACAGATATTATATTCTAGTTAAAGGATTTATTATTCTACCTTTTGACTAATGTTGTAATCTTCAAGAGCTATTTTTTTCATAACTTTCTAGAAAATTTTACCTAACCCAGCTTGATCATGAAATTGCAAGTAATATAAATCTCACTAATTCTAATTGGTTGATATAAAACACATTGGACAAAATTGATAAACAAGTTCTTATTGATCATTGCACATGTCTGAACATATTTCTTCAGCTCTATAAGAACCTAGGGTCCACCATAAGTTATTTGTGTTTAGTGTGAATAGATACAGGATATACTACTAATATATTATTAAATATAAGAAAGAGTTTATCTGATTATAGTAAAGATTATAAGATACTCAATTAACCTTTTTTCAAGTTAAAGCCACCTATATTCTGATTATATATAAGATAGATTTTAACTTCTACTACTTGAAAAAATCTAAACCAAAGAAAGTATAAAGCTATTAGAGATACTTATTAATAAAGCTTATATACAAAGCAATCTAGGAAATTTTCATTCTATTTTAAAAAATCCCAAGCTAAAAGACTAGAAGGCTAACACCACTACATCAATTAAAACTTAAGTTCAAAATATCAGTAATAATATATAAGTCAGTTGAAATATTTGAAAGATCTTTGTTAATTATAGTACCAATGGTCACTAGTAAGATATATTAATTGTTAGGCTAGGTACTATCCTTCTTATAAAAAACTAAATCTAAAATAAAATATATAGATAATAAGTATATGCATATTTAGATAGGAATGGGTTTAATTGACAATATATTGGAAGACTTTTAAGTCAATCATATAAATACCAATATATGACTTAGACCTTCTTGATTACTTCTTTTCTACAAGTCTTAAAACTATAAAGTCTTTTTCTTGGCCTTCAACTTATCTCCATAAAAATTTAATAGAAGTTTCTTCCCTCAAATCTTTTTACAAAGGGAATTAAAATAAAATAGTCATATATCAAGAAACAAGACTAATACCCTCTTAGAAATATATATAACTGTTCTATTTTCTTTTTTATTTTCTTTATTTTTATTTTTATGACACTAACATATTCTATAAATATTGATTTTTCTTTGATAAAAGAAAGAGTAATAAGTTTCTAAGTAGCTTTAGAAATAACTTTAACTTATTATTATATTTATTGTTCCTAAATATATATCAATGTATCTATACTCTATATAATGTATATATATAATTTGAAAAACAATAAAGTTAAATATGAGTCCATCCAAAAAAAAAATAGATAATAGTATTTAAAAAAATCGTAGTAAAAAGATTATATAATATATATATTATTTATTCTTTTGTATTTAATAAACTTTAATATAATCTTATTTTTTATAACTAAATTTTGATAATATTTATAAATAATTATAAGATATTTTAATTTGATAATTGATATAAAATAGTAAGAAAAGAGGAGAAATAATCAATAATTTGTATTTGATAATGATATATAAATTAATTGCAAAGATTTTATTTATTAAAATTATATAGAATTCATTAGATAAGTAGGATAATTTTTTATAGTAAAAGTCAAAATTTCCTTTTATAATAATATTATTATTGATAATTTTTATAATTATAATTTTAAAAGCTTGTTTCTGTTGCTTTGTACTATTGTAAGAAAAATAATTATAATTAAAAGATTAGATATTGATTTTATAATAATTAAATATTAAGTTATTAAGTAAAATATATTGATTATTTTATTTTGTATGTCATATTAATATAGTTTTATTAATTAATTTATAAATAATATATGAGTTGATTTGATATATACAAGGAACTAGTTATAAAATAATATACTGTACTGTATTTAAAATATAATAACAATTTTTAATAAAGTTTATAATTCTTTTATTTTTCTTTATTTTTATAAATTTTATATTATAATTATTATAAAAAGTTTAAAAACTTATAAATTTATTTTTTTATTTTTATTTTTTTTTAATCCGCAATCATGCCACAATGGCGTGTCTTTATTGAAAAATGAAAATAAATTTACAATATTTTACAGACTTTCACAAAGTGACTAACTCGTCTTCAT